ACATAAAATCCTTTATACCGGACAGATGCATTAAAGCCACCCGTGAAAGGAGGAATCGACGTACCAAACTCAGCAACACTTTGGTTAGCGCGATCATAAGTTGTAGTGATAGACCCGTCACGGTTGTAGTATCTTGGATTACCAGTTGCAGGATCTACTCCGCCCCATTTCGGGATGTAATGAGAACCCAATGGCAGGCCTACACGAATAATGCCCGTACCCTGGATAAACTCGTTGACTGAGCCAAGACTTGTAATCTTGTTCTTATTATAACCAAAGTTTCCGCCGACGGCGAATAACAGATCCTTCGTTCTCACCACGTCAACATTAAAATCTGCTTCGATGCCCTTGTTTACCATCGTACCGGCATTCACCTGTCCCGCTGCAAAACCGGACGTGAATGAAAGATTCTGGTTGATGACAAGATTGGTAGTCTTGCGGTGGTACACATCTACTTTCATCCTCACTTTTCTTTGCCAGAAAGAAAAGTCAACACCAATGTTTGAAGTCGTTGTATACTCCCAATCAAGATTCGTATTGCCAAATGTGGGGCTCAAACCCTGGATACCATCATACCTTGAACCTACACCGCCAGCATAGTTAGCTAAATAAGCAAAGTCATTGGCGAATTGGGCGGCCGTTTGCCCATAGCTTCCGCGGAGCAACAATGTGTTAAGGAAATTCATATTCTGCATAAATCTTTCCTTCATCACATTCCAGGTAACACCGGCTGCATAAAATCCTTTCCAGCGTCTTTCATCCGGTACCTGTGTAGCGCCATCATACCGATAACTAAGATTAAGTGTGTATTTATCTTTGAAAGAATATTTACCAGTACCTATAAATGAGGCATAAGCACGATTGGGATTGGCTCTGGTACCCCCTACCGTTGGGATGAAGCCTCCCGCTGCTGATCCGGCTGTTATACCCGAGGGTGTTCCCTGCCGCAGCGGGTCAATGCCAAAACCATTATAATTAAACGTTTGACCCCAGTCCCTCAATGCTTCAAATAACGCCATTACTTCGAAGCTGTGATTCTCACCAACTGTTCTTGCATAAGTAAGACCGCCATTACCCGTTAACTGAATATTGCGTGCAAAATTTTCACCAAAGCTTCCCCGTTGACCCGTTACAAGTGTACCGGTATGTGTTCCGGGTTTAATCAGGCGTTCGCCTACGGTCTCACGGAAGTCGATACCGATCGTAGCGTGTGCAGTTAAGTTCGCCGCAATCTTTAGCCGGAAAGCCTCCACTGAGCGTTCCTTTCAACTGGTTATTCGCGTTGGTTGTCGACGCGAGCCGCTCCAGCGCATCTGATCCTTCCCGCTGATCATACACCAAAACGCGTGAAGGAAGAATAGGCACTGTTGGTGCTGATGTGTTGGAAGGAAGTAATGGATTATAGGTAGCTGCCGCAAGCCTCGGACCACTGGCCATACCAGACGCGACTAACACTCCATTCACATAAGGTTG